TATGAAGATTTCTTCTTCTGCAGTTGAGAGACCTTCGTGAGTAGTTCGAAATGGATCCCTAACCCACTCGTAACTTGCTACCAATTTGTCGTCAGCAAGAAAATACTTTTCAAAATTCTGTGCCAACATGGCTAAATGACTTTCTATTGTTACAAAAACAACTTTCACATACTGTTCTTCTTCCTTGTATGTTTTGACACACTCATTCACATTTGCAAACATTTCTAGTTTTTTTTGTTTCACATTTCTGCTCTACAGCTCCAAATTTCTACAGAATGCACTAACTTTATCACTGCTATCCAACATATGTGTGTTTTTTAAGGATAATTATTATTCTCAGGAAGGATTGTGGGCAATAAAATCGCAATTAATTGATTCACCAATATTTGGCATCTATTTTCGACGCTTCCTCAGGGTGAGTTCGTACTAAGAAATACAAAGTAATCAATTTACAAAGTAAATAAAGCTATAAATTACTTACAATTGCACTAAATTAGCGAAAACTTTAAACATTGTCAAGGAAACCACGTGTAAAATTTGAGTTGAGTGGCATGACTTACCACGTGGGTTAACTCTAAGTGAGTGGGATTAACGGTTAACCGTTGACAAGCAACAGCGCCACTACAAGTGAAGCTTATAGCGCGCGAAATTGGGTAAGTTTAAATTTAAAAAGTTACAAGTTAAAAAATAAACAAAAAACAATAGAACAAATATTAATTATGTCTACTGTCTGGTTTGTTTTTATATAATTCGAAGATTAATGAGTAGATATTGCTGAGTGAGTCAATGTCAGTTGTTACGAACTCACCCTGAGGAAGCGTCGAAAATAAATGCGAAATATTGGTGAATCAATTAATTGCGATTTTATTGCCCACAATCCTTCCTGAGAATAATAATTATCCTTAAAAACTTCTAACGGGATTGAGGAAAAAATCTCCTGCATATGTGTGTTTGCTCTTTGGAGTTGTAGATTCAGGGTATTTAATTTCTCGAATATATAACCAATTTCATCACAAATAAAGCATCTCGAAACTTTTTGGCTTCCAGGCGGTTTTCCTCTTCTAGAAAAGTGGTAATTTCCTCTTTTAACTCATAAACACGTTGTAGAAATTTCCCACGCGATGCCTTTCTGTGGATCATGCAATAGGTGTAGTCACATTGCGGAAATTTTTGTGCTTGTAGCTTTGGAATCTTCCACACATTGTAGAATCACCATTGGTGCATATTCCAACGCAATTCCTCCACTCTATGTTTGCTTCATTAATAAAATCATTTAAAATATCAAACAAAGCGAGTGCTGTTGCTTTGAGTTCTCTACGTATGCAGAAAAGTAGTTCTTCTACTACCGATATACGATCACAAAATCAGACATAGGCAATTAAATGAGCGTCTTTATTGCTATCTGTTGCCTCGTNTAAACTTCTAACCTCACATCTGGATGAATAAGTTTAAAGTGTACCTAAAAATCCTACAGTGCGGATTGCGATGTTTTTTATACAGATTATTTCTTGTATACACTTGTATAGTAGAAAGTACAGACAGCTCTAAATGCGCCGAATAGATAACTACAGTTTAAAAGTGTTTAAAATTACCGGTACTTTAAAGTACCGTCGGGACACAAAAGGTTAATCTCCAATATTATCTCTTAATTAATAAATAGCCTGCTTCAAAGGTAAAATTATAAAATAATCTCGATCTTGTGAGCTGCAATTTTTCGTTCTTTCATTCATCAGATGTGTCTTGTTCGGATTTTACCACGTACTTAGCCACCAAAACACGATAATATCTTCTCTAATTCGATTCTAAAAATCTTCTGGTAATCCAGTTCCATAATAAAAGTGAATCTTGTGAATCAAATCGTTGGATGATTCGCAACCCAAGAAATAAATTTGAGATCTAAAATTAAAAGTTTTAATATATATGTTAATTTTTTTTAGAAATCGTGAACGAATTCAATTAGTTTTTGAAGAAATTTCACTTCAAAAAGGCGATATAAGGTTAGAAATCATTAAAAGATCACTTTCAATTAACTCAAATAATAAATTTGTCGTATTTAGTTGTTTAAATAGGGCAGATATAATAAGAATTTACGATGGAATTTCTCCTGGTGATGCAGCAATAAAATTCTTATGTAACGAAGGAGCCGAGGTTGAAATATTTTCGACTGGATCGAACTTATTCGTGGAATTCGTAGCAAATTCTGATTGGCCCGGACATGGATTCAAGGCCAGATATCAGTTCCTACCGATAGAAGATAACTTTATAGGTAGATTTATTTGTAAGAATCAATTAAAATAAAATAAAGTGTAATTCTTTTTAAGACCTCGATAGGTTTGATCACGCACGTCCTAAATTAGGACCAAGCGTCAGTGAAACACGCTCGAGTTGTGATTTATCATTTACAAGCGATTTAACTAAGAACGGCACGATTTCTAGTCCGCATTATCCGGACTCTTATCCACCAAGAACAACATGCAGATATGAATTTGAAGGAAGAGGAAAAGAACGAATTCGAATACAATTCATTGATTTTCAATTATATAGTCCGCAAAGTTACGTAGGGGAAAATTGCAACAATCAAGATTCGGTGTTTGCTTTTGTTCACGTTGAAGGAAGAACGGATAAAATCGATGGTTTTTGTGGAAATTTTTTTCCAAAACCAATTATGTCGAATGGACCTCGATTACTTTTAGAGTTGCAAAGTGTTTTTGGAGGACAAAATACGAGAGGATTTAAAGCCATTTATACTTTTACCGAGAGTAATATCAATTATTAAATTAAAACTTAATTTTTTTTGAATTATTATTATTTTAGATTATGGGATAACCCACGGTTCTCAAATACCAGATTATCCATGTGCCTTCGTTTACACGTGCAATGAATCAAAAAGTGGGTATTTCCACAGTCCAAATTATCCAGGTTTATATCCGAGAGATACCGAGTGTCACTATTTCTTTTATGGAAATGAAAACGAATTAGTCCAATTAAAATTCGATTATTTTGATGTTGAAGGAGTTCAACCGTAAGTACAAAATTAATTTCATTGAAATAATCTTATTAATTTTTTTTGTATTAGTTGTAATTCATCTTCGGCTAGTGATTATATTGAATTTTCAAATTATATGCGAATTGATTCGAAATATAAGAGACGTTGCGGCCAACAAAGCCCTTTTTTAATTAACTCGGAAAGGAAATTTTTTCGGGTTACTTTCAGGTCTAATGATCGTTTAGACGGACATGGATTTAATGCTTCTTATGTTTTCTTGGATAAAAGCGAAGTTAACACGATTATAGTACCAAATCACACTTCAAGTGCAGAGATAAAACACGTTTATTATATATCTAATATTATCTTAATAATTTTTTTTTGTAAATTTAAGTAAATTCATTTAAAAAGAAATCGCACTGATTTTTATAATAACACATTTACAATTAGTGCTGGACCAAAAAAAATCTTTTAATTCAAATTATGTAAATAAAAAAAAACAGCACGTCGACATATCGTTAACCTTCGAGTTTAATTAAATAATTATATAGTTTAGTACCTTCGATGTGATTCTATTGTACAAACACCTCCGTTATGTGTAACAACAAAAAACATTAATAAAGTTTGTATTTTTCTAAATAAAAAAAAAACTTGCGTTTTCATTTTCCTCGTTTACAACTCTCCATGCGGAAAGAAATTCAATTAAGAAACCCACTTGTAATAACTCGCCGTTCGAGGGTGAACGGGATTCATTAAAAAAGTTGCATTGGAGCAACTTTCATCGTGCTTCCTCAACGTCTTTTACTATAAAGGTCTAGCTTCAAGTCTTTTGGAGTAAGAAAAAAAAGTCTTCTCAAAGAACAATATCGTAGAGGAGCAGTTCTTAATATATTGGCCAAGTTTCCACCTTTTATTAGACTTTTAATGCCTCGTAAATAAGAGAGCTTAACTATAGAGTTAGATGGGTAAGATTAAGAAATTGGAATTATTTAAGAGTTTCATGGTGCTATAAAATTTTAAACTTTAATTAATAATATAATACTAAGGCCCGTTACTACCAAACCAATGCTATCTATCAGTTAAGCTATCTATAAGATACAATTTATCTCGTAGATAACAGGGTCGTCAGTACTACCACCTCCATTTACCTCATAGTTAAGAAATCCTTGAGATAACCAACGTATCTAGGGATTTTTTGGTCTATGTTAAATAGACAGCTCTATGTGATCAAAAGACCTACTATTAGGTATTTTGACGATATTCTAACCTGTTCTAAAATTAAAATTTGGAAATGGAGACTGAGAAAAGGCGACGAACCACCAATTTCATCAAAGAAGAATGCGAACATCTTCTTAAATTTGTTATCAAACATAAAAACGTGATAGAAAACAAAAAAAGTGATGCAATTACATGGCAAGGAAAGCAAAAAGTATGTACTATATCTCGTATTATTGTATGTTAAAATGAGATGGTAAACAATAATGGCACAACTAACATGATGAACGACTGAAGATGCCAATTGTACACTCCCTCCTGCAAAATCAGCTATGGATAGCAACATGTTACCTGTTGCATAAAACCGAAGAGTCAGCAACAAACGGTTTGAAGGAGGTATTACTAAAATTTTGATGAATTTTACATTAAATAATAACAAATTACTTACAAATTTAAGTTTATATTACTTTTATACGTCAGTATAAGTCCTATTTGAGGTTAGGTATCCGCAGTTATCCCTTAGATAGCAACTTATCCAACACCCAATCCACGGCTTAGGCCCGTTACTACCAAACCAATGCTATCTATCAGTTAAGCTATCTATAAGATACAATTTATCTCGTAGATAACAGAGTCGTACGTACTACCACCTCAATTTATCTCATAGTTAAGAAATCCTTGAGATAATCAAGGAATCTAGGGATTTTTTGGTCTATTATATTAAATTGACAGCTCTATGTGGTCAAAAGACCTACTATTAGGTATTTTGACGATATTCTAACCTGTTCTAACCTTAAAATTAAAATTTGGAGACTGAGAAAATGCGATGAAACACCAATTTCATCAAAGAAGAATCTTGTATTATTGTATGTTAAAATGTGATGGTAAACAATAATGGCACAACTAACATGATGAACGACTGAAGATAACAATTGTACACTCACTCCTGCAAAATCTGCTATGAATAGCAACATGTTACCTATTGCATAAAACCGAAGAGAATTTTACATTAAATAATAGCAATCAAAAAATTACTTACATCATGGATGGAGGTTTTATTACATCTTCTATTTGGTTCAAAAGGTGATGAAAACTTATCCGCAGTTATCCCTTAGATAGCAACTTATCCGACACCCCACGGGTTACAGATATTTCAAAAGTTATCCCTTGGATAGCGGTATCTATAAGATAATTACAGTGGTAGTAACCAATTTTTAAGCTAGCTGATAGATAATGCTATCAGCGACTTTAACTATGAGTGGTAGTAGTGGGCCTTACAGATATTTCAAAAGTTATCCGTTGGATAGCGATATCTATAAGATAAATACAGTGGTAGTAACAAATTTTTAAGCTATCCGATAGATAACGCTATCAGAGACTTTAAGTACGAGTGGTAGTAGCGGGCCTAAGGCCCACTTTTACCACCTCTTGATAAATTTATTCGATAAATAATTACCATGGTTACAGCGGTTTTAAGCGCTCTCATTGGCTAAGCCCCGTTACTACCAAACCAATGCTATCTGTTAGTTAAGCTATCTATAAGATACAATTTATCTCGTAGATAATAGGGTCGTGCGTACTACCACCTCCATTTATCTCACAGTTAAAAAATCCTTGAGATAAGCAAGGAATATAGGGATTTTTTGGTCTATTATGTTAAATTGATGTGGTCAAAAGACCTACTATTAGGTATTTTGACGATATTCTAACCTGTTCTAACCTTAAAATTAAAATTTGGAAATGGAGACTGAGAAAAGGTGACGAACCACCAATTTCATCAAAGAAGAATGCGAACATCTTCTTGAATTTGTTATCAAACATAANCTATTAGGTATTTTGACGATATTCTAACCTGTTCTAACCTTAAAATTAAAATTTGGAAATGGAGACTGAGAAAAGGCGACGAACCACCAATTTCACCAAAGAAGAATGCGAACATCTTCTTGAATTTGTTATCAAGCATAAAAACGTAATAGAAAACAAAAAAAGTGATGCAGTTACATGGCAAGGAAAGCGACAAGTATGTGTATCTCGTATTATTGTATGTTAAAATGTGATGGTAAAAAATAATGGCACAACTAACATGATAAACGATTGTATACTCATTCCTGCAAAATCTGCTATGGATAGCAACATGTTACCTATTGCATAAAACCGAAGAGTCAGCAACAAACGGTTTGAAGGAGGTACAGTCGTGTTCACTGGAAATGCGCACTCAAGGTCAAGCGGTGTTGTGAGATCCGACATGCCGCTGCCTAAACGGGTTGAGCCGAGCACACACGAAGCTCGTGGAGAAGGGACTTGTGGCGGTCCAGGTTAGCCAGCGGCATATCGGATCTCACAACAACGCTTGACCTTGAGTGCGCATTTCCCGTGAACACGACTGTACAGCATTATTACTAAAATTTGGATGAATTTTACATTAAATAATAGGAATCAACAAATTACTTACGTCATGGATGGAGGTTTTATTACATCTTCTATTTGATTCAAAAGATGAAGAAAACATTTTTTCGAGACACGAAATCTTAACTCTATTCCTTATTATCCTTTCGCTCCTTACAGGAAATGATTTCTTCAAAAATTTGTTCTTCATCGTCAATGTCGAAGAAATTATCCATGATGATTTTATCTAATGTTAATTATTAATAGCTTTTTATTCAAGTTTATATTACTTTTCTTATTTTAACTGAAATAGTAAAACGCTCGAATTTTATACGTCAGTATAAATCCTATTTGAGGTTAGGTATCCGCAGTTATCCCTTAGATAGCAACTTACCCGACACCCAATCCACGGGTTACAAATATTTCAAAAGTTATCCCTTGGATAGCGGTATCTATAAGATAAATATAGTGGTAGTAACCAATTTTTAAGCTATCCGATAGATAACGCTATCAGAGACTATCAGCGCCAATTTATCTATCGGTTAAATTTATCAAGAGGTGGTAAAAGTGGGCCTTTATAAATTAAAGTACATACATATTAAAATTAAAGCTAGTTTGAGTCATAACAATCCAATGTAACTTCGTATCAAGCTCCAATGACAGAGGATTTATGTGCTTTTGAACCTAGACTAGCTTGGTTTGAAATTGCAGTGCTTTGCAGTCAAATTACCTCGGAGTTGAGTTACTTTATAATTGGAGTGGATTTCTTTGGCATTAAGATATTTTATGCTTGAATTACATAGAATTGGAATACTTTTTGGACGAGTTTTGTGGTTAAGATGAGCTCAACCTAACTACGAGCACTTTACATTACACCCAATTAGATTAGCTTCCATTGGAGATAACTTTATAAATAAATGAATCACTTTAAGGTTGGCATACTTTGTTGTCTAGTTTCTAAATCAACTCAACCCAAGTATGCGTGAAATTTAAATTACTGCGGATCAGCTTGGCCCATCACAAAGTTAATTTGTACTGGGATTGTATTGCTTTAAGGTTGGGTTGCTTCGAGTTTGGATTGACTTGATGTAGATTTGAGTTAATTACTACATGTTTGAGTTACTTTGGGGTTGGGTTGGTTTGCTTTGGAACTCTGTTGCTTTGAAGTTGGATTATTATTTGATTAAATTGGATTCGATTGCTTTTGTGTATACCCAGATGCTTTGAGTTGGGCTAATCTAGGGTTGGATCGGCTTATTTAATTCTATGGTTGAGTTATTCTGGGAGAATAACTTGCTGTCTTTGGATTGGGTAACTTTGTACTTGGATAACCGTGTAGCATCGATTCTAGCAACTAATCAATTTCCTCTCAATGTATTATGTCCTAAGCAAGCTGTAATTTATACTATAAAGCATGCATCTTTAGAAGAAATTGACATAATCTTCTACAAATCAACTCAAAAAGTGAGTCTTCTAACTGTTGAAGAAATTAAAAACTATTCTAGATTATTAGGTTCACCCTTCATGAGTTTTTATCTAAGGTTGTATGAATATGAAAATAAAGATAGAATAATTTTTGTTATATTGCAAGGAACTTCACAAAGAACGTCATAAAAAAGAATGTTGCGAATGTGAAAAACTGTAATAAGAGAGATGATAATGCTAAAAGCTTCTCGTATGAGAATGAAAAAAAGAATGATTCAAATCACGTCTGACTTGTTCCCGGGTGAATATAAAAGCTCGCGTGCGCATAATGTAAAAAAATAGGTTTGTTATTCCTCTAAAAGCATTGAATGAGTGAAGGGATTTCGAAAAAAGCCCTATAAAACATAATTTATTACAAATATCGAAGGCAAATTGAAAATGTTAATTACCAAGTGTAAATTATCAAATGTAAATTATAAAATGTACATAACAAAATTAAAAAAGCTTTATAAATCAAGCTAAAATATTATGTTTAATTACTTAAAATATATTATTTGTTATTATTTCAAAATTTTAATATTATGATCTGGTTAAAATTACAGGATATTGGTTAATTT